GTGTTTCTGAGGTGCCGGGCTCCCTGGGCTTATGGTTTAGGGTTTAGGGTTTAGTGTTTAGGGTTTAGGGTTTAGGGTTTAGGGATACCCGTAGCTGTTGACGCTTCAGAAGTTGATGGGCGTGTGCGGCCCTTCTTTGATTTCCGAGCATTTTTTTGTCAGCGCGAACCCATGCTCTCAAATCCCTCGATACCCTAAGCCCTGAACCATCCCTAAACCCCCAAAACCCAAAACCTCCTATGCACCCTACAGTGATAGAGGTCTTGGGGTTTTACGGCTTGGGAGACTCTGAGGCCACTGCTGCTGCCCCCAAATCTGCGGGCAGAGGCCGCAGCGCTGCCCATGGCTCCCAAAGCACACACTTTGGGCTGCTGCGGGCTTAAAAACTACGTAGAACTGGAACCCCAAACCCTAAACTTTTAAAGGGTTCTTCGCACCCCAAACCCTAAACTTTTAAAGGGCTCTTCAAGCAGGGTTCTAAGCTCCTATTTTTTTGCGGGTCAAGTGTCCTGACGGTTTCAAGGTATGAGGACTCGTGGTCGGCTTTCCTGGCCTGTCTTGGGCCGTTCACACTGGTGCAGTCGAGGGGTGTAGGGTAGGTTGCAGGCAATCAATCATACCTATCACTGTGAAGTCCATGGATAGTACTCTATAGTCTGTTTATCTATCTAAGTCTATCTATCTATCTATCTATCTATCTATCTATCTACGCATGTATGTATGCATATAAATGATATGTACATCATGGCATCATGGTACTTTCCATGATCCCACAGACGACTAGCAGCCATGCTCTTGGGCCCAGCACGTTCAAGTCAGCGGAAGCTGCACAGCAGTCCACAAACATGACCCATCGGTCACCGAAACAAGTCGATGCTGCTTTGCTCGTGACACCTTGCGAGACGGCTCCAAGGATACCAACGCGGAAAAATCGTTAGTAACCTGCTGCGGCTGGGACACCACGCTGCTAGCCGGCCTCCTCCCAGCGAAACAAAAGCATGTAGATGATATGCAAGTGAAACCGGAGGAAAAGCTAGCACGAGCTTATGACTTCACGGTGCCATTGCACCACACGCCATTGCATCCACCACAAGTGCTTGGAGAAGCACACTCCGTGCCTGGCACCGCCCTGTGCCCTTCGTACTTCTTCGCCATCTCGCAGACCTTCAAAATCTCTTCCGGGTCTGTGGGGGCTG